TTAAAAAATAGTACCCATTAATTATATGTTATATATTAATTTTGATAAAAAGATCTTAATTTTGGTAATTAAAAATTAATTTTCTTAAAATTTTTATTGTAGAAAAATCATATTTTAATTTTATTTCGTATTTTGGTTCTAAGAACCCACAGGAATCATATTTTAAAATTTTTATTATAGAAAAATCATATTTTAATTTTATTCAAGCTAAAGGATGAAAAACAGTGGGTTTTTTGGGGTTGGTCCTTTTTAGAGGTTGGGGAAATGATTTTTTAGTGTTTGGCAGTGGGGTTTTAGGGTTGTGCTAGGGCTCAACTAGGTTATTGAGGGGCTAGGTCTTAGGTTTGTGAAAGTATAGTAAGAGTTTGGGTGGCTTAAGAATGGCATTTGGTACAGGGGTTATGTTGAGCTATTAGGGACTTGTCTGGTGCTATGGATGAAAAGTGTGTAGGGGTTGGCTGAGGCTAGTTCTTGGGCTATTGGGGACTTGTCTGGTATTATGGACGGAAGGTGTGTAGGGTTAATGAAAGGCTTGATTTTGTGTTGAGGAGGGGTTATGAGTGCAAGGGTGCGATGCTGGGTTGGTGTGGTGAATGGTTGGGAACTTTTAGTGCTTGAGGGTTCTAGGATAAAGGGACCTCATGTGGGTGAAGTGCAAGGCTGGGGCCAGTTTCAGTCTTTTTTTTTTTTTTTAGTCTCATCTCTCCTTATAAATTCATATGGGATTTCATTAAAAATCTTAGACCTTTTTTGTCCCATGCCTCTGTCTGGGAAATTAATTCTTTTGAAAAGGGTGATTAATAGTTTTGGATCCTTTTTGTAGCATTGGTTTACTGTATTTTAGGGTATCGTTCTTTTACCAATAATATTATAGGTAAATTAGGTAGAATTAGATAGGCAAATCTTGATAGTTAGAAGTGGTGAGGCAGATTAGAGATAGTGGTTTGGGGAAAGGGAAAAGCTAGGGAAGGCTACTGCCATGGCAACTATCCCTCAGCTTTTCTTTATATATATTTAATTTTTTAATTACTTAATTTTATTATTTTTAATTATTGTATTTATTTTAATTTGATCTTTAATTAATCAAAATCAAATCTGGACTTTAATACAAAATATGGACAAAATTTAGGTTTTAATATGTAACTTGAGCTTTAATATGAAACTTGGGTTTCAACAATTAACCCAATAATGGAATTGGACCAAGCTGGAACCCACATGAAATATTCTAAGATTGTGAATGAATCTAATCTCGATTTTTAAATCGACCTAATTTGTGCCTAAATCGACTTCAAAATCAATCACGATTAGGTTATCTCGGACAAAAGAAGTGTTTATAGATCCTTGTTATAAGTTGAACTACGTGAAATATTGTTATACTAAGTTTTATGGTAATCATGTTTCAGAGTTTATTCAAACAGTTTTGGGTAATCTTAGAATCTTATTTGATGTATATGTAAAGCACTCCAAACCCAATGTTTCATCTGGTGTGATAGGGGCTAATTTTGTTGATTCTAACTTGCTTGATTCTAATGTGAGTAATGTTGATATGGGTTTAGGTTCTAGTGAGAGTGATGATTACAAATTGTTTTTAAATCAATCTAAACCTAAAAGTGAAAAGTCATAATTGGATCTTTACTTGGAAGAAAGAGCATTTGAGTTGAATAGAGATATCGATATCTTGGATTATTAAAGTAAAAGCTCATTTGATATTTTAAGCTTTCACTATTGGCTTGTGATCTTTTGGCAATTTCAATACATGCTGTGGCTTTTTAGTCAGCTTTTAGTAATGGAAAAAAAGTTATTATTTCTTTGAGGAGTTCACTCAAACCAAAAACTGTTCAAGCTGTTGTTTGTTTTGATGATTGGATGCATGCTAAATATTTTTCAATAGGTAATGCTTTTCTTATTGTTATTATATTAATTTTATTTTTATTATAACATTCATACTTGTTTCTAGGAGTTCCTAATTGTTTACTTTACTTTTTACATTAGAACTAGATGATAAAACATCTAGCTTTAACGACGATGAGAATAATGATGATAACGATAATGATGCTTCTACCATGGCTTTCTAGATTAACTTTTTAATTAAAAGATCACAATTCTCCTTTATAATTTAGTTAATTTGATATTTTATTAAAATATGGTGTTTTATTTTGTAATTTGTAGATTTTAAGAGTAGTTTTAAAAATCTATCAATAAGTAGGAAACTATTGGAAAAGATGCTAATGCATTTTTTTTTCAATTACTTTGAACTGTTTTTTAGAAATTTAATTTGAACTTATATTGTTTTTTAGACTTTAATTTAGATTTTCATGATCTGTAACTTAAAAAATATCTAAACTTACTATGTTATACAATATACTTATTAACCATTATATGGTTTTTAGATTTTATTTTAAAATTTGAAAAGTAAATGTGTTGTAATTTGTAATTTTTTGTGATGTTTTTTTAGTTTGAAAAAAATGACAGTACTTTGGGTAAGTCTTGGCTCTCTTATTATATGTAAAAAAGGGTTTGGATAGAAAATAAGGCCTTAAAAGTTAGGTTAAGCTGAGCTTGAGCTTGTTTATAATCTTTTCATATTCTGTTTAAGCCCGACCCAGCCCATAAACATGTTTAGTTATGAGCGCACAAATTTTAATTAAAAAGAATAGATAAATTATGTTTTATATTATATTTACGAGTTATATTTTTTATGAAGACAAATAAAAAAGAAATATAAATTAATTGATTGATTTTTTTAATTTATTGTAAATTATAATTTTTTAAATAATTAAAAAGAAAAAAAAACAATAAATGAGTGAAAAAATGACAAAAAAAATCAATATAAATCACATTCTATTTAATTTTTTATATTTAATACAATATTTTTAGTTTTAATTTTTTTATTATTCATTTTCATATATATTTTATTTTTTCTTTCTCTTAAATTCTAATTTTTCTCCTTAACTCTCTTCTATCTCCTATTTTCTCATTTTTTAGTGTAAATTTTTTTTCATAAAAAAGAACTATACATAATTTTTCATAAACGAAGCTTGTTCAAACAATAATTACCTAAGTAATAAATATTCTCCATATGGGCTCAGGTAGAATATACTTATATAGTCAATTTTTTACCATTCAAAAGGTAATTACTAACTTTTATTATGAGTTTTTTTATGTATATATAATGCATATACCCTAAAATTAGGATGAAATTTTATAGTTAAAGTTTGTTAAGTTTTTTGTTAAAATTTATTAAATAAAAATTAAAATAAAAAATTCAAGTCAATAAATTGAAATATCTTCCAATATAAATCAACTGAACATAATTTCAAAATTTTTTAATAAATTTTGATATGTTTTTTAAAAACTTTTACTAAAAATTTTAACAAATTTTTGTAATTGAATAAATATAATTTAAATTTAAATTATAAATAATATTTTAATAATATTATGATATTATTAATCTTTTTGTTGAACTTCATTAGCCAATCAATTTAAATTTTAGATTAAAATTTTTATTGAATAAAATTTTATAAACTTTACCTACAAATTTTTTTTTTCAAAATTGAAAGTAATATAAATAATTAAATAGAAAACTAAAAAACAAAAACAAAAAGTAAATAACTACTACTAATAAAAAAAAAAACCCAAGATAGATCCTTTCTTTAGCTTAACATTTAGTAGACCTAATAATTTCAGACATGATACGATAATACAACATGAAAATAACATAAAAAAAATTATATATGTGTTTTAAAAAATATATTTCACATTTATTTGTGTCGACGCATATTTTGATACGACACAATTCATGTCGTATTATGTCGTATATGTGTTGATTCGTTTAAACACGTAACACGATATAAATAACACGTTTAATTTAATCTTATCATATAAGTACACGTTTAATATGTTTAACACGTTTAATATATTTTTTATATTTATTTTAATTGAATATAAACATATAAAGATTATTTTAATTTTTAATCTTTTAATTATGATACTTAATTAGCTATTTAATTTCTTATAAAAATTATTTTAAACATTTAATTGTGATACTAAATTAATAATTATTCTAAAATTATTTTTGTATATTAATAATATAAATATAAATATTTGTATTATATATTATTATTTTATTCTTTAATATTTAATAATTTATCATTTTAAATTTGATATTAAAAATTAATATAATTATATAATATAAATATAAATTAAAATATATATATTAAATACATATTAATTGAGTATTAAATTTTTTTATTTTTTAATATGTAAGTACTTTTTTATGTTATTAATATGTCAAATTTATTAAGTTATAAATGATAGATAGTTTATAATTATTTATTATTTTAATCGTATTCTTATATATATTCGTGTTAATTGTATTTGTTTATATATATTCATATTAATCATATATGTTTACGTATATTTATATTATTCATATTTATTCATGTCACATTTAAATAAATAAATTATATATATTAATCGTGTCATATAATATATATTAAATATATCATATTTATATTTAAAATTTAAATATAATTTATAATTTATATTATATTTATATTTTAATAATACATATCATTATACATATTAAATATTAAATATTAAATATGATATAAAGACTAACTCGAAAACACGTCTAACATTTAGCTAGAGCCTCACGGTAAAAATGCTTACAGCATCTATTGTTTTTTACCCCTTAAAAAAACACTCCCCAACGCCACTACCGATTCTTCCGTCTCTCCAATTCCAGCAAACCTAATCTTTCAGTTTTTCATTTCAAAGTTAAAATAATAAAAAAGCTAATAATAACAAAATACTTAATAGTAATTATTTTTACCCAAAACCCCAAAATTCATATTATTTCTTCGTTCTTGTGCCAAACCTGTTTACTTCTCTTATACCATTAACTTCAACTTTTTTTTTTTCTTAATCATTGATTTTTCTCATTTTATTTTGTTGCTTTTATTGGTTTTCTATTGTTGCCTTGAGAGACGCTCGCTTTCATGGATGAAATTTATGGTTTCTATTCCACGGGAGAGTACGCTTACAAGGCCTTGATGTCACCGGAAAACCTAATGCTTCCTTGTGATTACCAAGCTTGGCTTTGCTCTTTGGGTCGGATTCCCATGTTTGGATCCGACGAGTTAATCTCTTCTGCCTCTGCCATATCCGAAACTGCTTCTATCACCCTTGAAATTCAACGAGAAGAAGACACGTCCAGTGTGATCAAAGCCAAAATCGCTTCACATCATTCTTATCCTCGTTTAATTCAAGCTTATATTGATTGCCAGAAGGTGAAATTAAAAAAATAAAAACTAATTAAAGGGTTTCTCTTTTCTATTTCTGGTGCAAACAAATCACTGAAAGGATGCTGCTTGTTAAAGAATTTTAAGCATTCCCCCCCCCCCCCCTTTTTTTTCTTTAGGGTCGTTGAATATGATGTTATATATGTAAAACGGTGGCGATTATAGGTGCAGACTTCAAGACAAGATTCAAAAAAGAAAAGAAAAGAAAGGGGAAAGCTTTCTCTACAGTTGCGTTGTAAATTTCCGCCTTAAACGAGGGTTTAGTTTGGTTTTTGAAAGTTAGACGCAAAAGATTTTACTTTTGAACCGCTCAGCAGCTGTGGTTGGTAGCATGAAGCATTTTCTTTTCTACTGCGTATATTATGGAGAAAGTTTGTGCTGGTTTCTTTTTTCATTTTCAAGATCCAACCCTTTTCTTACTCTTATTAAAGCAACTTTCTTACTCGATTAATTCCCATGATTTTATGGCAAATATGTGATGGAATTCATGAAATAGAGTGTGTATGAGGTTTTGTTGGAGAAGAATTTTACTTGTTTGTGTCTTGTTCTAATCTTTATTTTTCTTTTTTAAAGGTTGGGGCACCTCCGGAGATAGTGAGTGTATTAGATGAAATTCTGAGAAAGAACGATGTTAACAAGCGGGACATCATGCCAACCTGCTTGGGAGCCGACACTGAGCTCGACGAGTTCATGGTCTCTCTCTCTCTCTCCTCTCTCTGTGCTCTTAGGTTTCCTTTGGTTTTTCATCACATGATATATAAGATGTTTGTTCAGGAAACTTACTGCGACAGATTGGTGAATTACAAATCTGATCTTTCAAAGCCTTTTGATGAAGCGACCACCTTTCTAAACAAGATTGAAATGCAGCTTCGAAATCTCTGCAAGGTTGCTTCCATTAGAGGCCCTTCTGGTCAGTCATCTCTCTCTCTTTCTCAGAAATCTAGTATCAATCCTGTATCCCAGTCATATTTCTTTTGAATTAATTTATTCTTTGTTTAATTTTTGGATTCTTGGTTTTTGTGCTATTCCAAATTCTCTGTCACTCTATCTATCCCTGCAATCCGATCTTGATATTTGATTAAGAGCGATCAAATAATAATTATTTTAATTTTTTTATAATTAAATAAATGTATAACAAATAAAATTCATCAATTAACTAATTTTATTTAAAATTATAATTAATTATTTTTAAATATATATAAATAAATCAATTATTAAAAATATTTTTTTTATAAGAAACAAGAAAAATAAAATACATTATTAAGTGAATAAAGTTGAAAATTCGAGATTATAAGCAAATATACTTTCTAATCTTTTACAAAGTAGTTTCAATCTTAATTATTTATAAAAAAAATTTTGCATGAGAAAGATATTTAAGGTATAATTGAAAGTAAAAAATTATATGAAAAAGAGAAATTATAGTCCCCGAAGGCAAAAGCAAAACATGTTTCATATTTGAAGATTTGAAATCTTGTTGAATTAATTAAGTTATAATATAATGAATTAATTTTAAATTTTTTTATAATGATGAAATTAAAATAATAACCATGATATTAAATTAAAAATCAAAATTTAAATTCAATAAATAAATATATCAAAAAATTATTTAAACTAGTCAAAAAAATATTAAGCAAGGGAAATTGAGAAAAGGGGTGTGCACAGGTGTTGAGATAACAAAACCTGCAAACGAATTTCATAGGGGTATACAGTGATGCAAACAATATAAGCTATTTTTTGATTTGGTGTCGAAACCACAAGCATCATAATGGAAAATTTGTGTTTTACAACAAATTGAAATATATGAAGTTGCAATTTATATACTGTGATATGAAGTTGCAATTTATATATTACGGTGTTTTTAACCTATTACCGTCCGCCTGTGCCTGCATTATCTGCTCCTTTTACCGAAGAATTTTACACCAAAGAGCTAAAGAAGCTAACATCGGTCTAAAACTTCCAACGAATCATCCCATCAACTATCAGGCAAAACTTGGGTATGTGGTTTCCTGGTGCATGATAGCATGGATCATGGAACCCACAAAGAGGACGACAACCATTCTTTTCCTAGTCATAGGCATAGATGTCATCTATCTCTATCCTTTTGTGCAAAAGAACCCACTAATGATGCCAACAGTACTCAAAGTATAATACATCGTTTCGAGTATATATTGTCAATAATAATACTAACACTAACAGACAACAAAAAACCCTAGAGATGAAATAGACCTGTGTCTTTGGTTAGTCACTGTACTGTTCCTATCTTAACTTCCCCTTGTTGGGTATGTAATCTGAAATTTTTCTTTCCAGCATAGTTGGGGTGGGTATGATTTCATATCTCTTCTATCTCATTTGTTTTGTGCCAAATGAATGAACGTAAAAATGGTAAGTGTTCAGCAATGGTGGAATACGGATTAACCCTCTCTCTCCAATTCAATCAGTGTTTATCCGGGGCTTGCCTTTGCGCCCTCATCTTTGTCATTTTCTTTTCTTTCCTGTTGTTATTGGTTTCATTTTTATTACTATTATATCTTCGTTTTGCTGTATGTGTCAGAGGAAAATCAATCCTGAAAGAAACACCTTTTTGTGTTTTGAGATTCTGAATTGACGTTTCAGAGTTCGATGATGCCATGCGAAATAGTTGCTTTATAGTGTAAAAACAATGATATTTACCTCAGCTGTTTCTTTTTGCAATGCCTCAGATGATGCAAAAACGTATTTAGCGCCTCTTAAAGGACAAAAGATAGGGCCAATTAATTGAGTTGTTTGAACCTTTGGACTATCTTATGTCATTTTTTCCCAAGGGGTCTTCTTTTTTCTTACTCTCCAGTTATTATTGAAGCATATTCTCCTCGAAAACCTTGTTATTTTGGTCCTAAAGTGAAGGTTGCTTTGGTCTGTGTGGTATATGAGGTATTGGTGGTGAGCTTATCTGACCATCTGCTTGCTAACAGTTACTTATTCCTTTCGGAAATGCATGTTTGGTTGAGAAGTAAAGACCACGAGATTCACCATTAATGCTAACCCTTTTGAAGTTTGATGAAAGTAGTCTTCCTGACCGAAAGGTCCAATTTAAAAAAGTGTTAACTTATTTTCCTAGGTACACAATCGATTACGAGAATCACTTAGTTTATGTATTCTGCTGTGTTTTAAAACCATATACCGTACTGTGGTCCTGGTGAAGTACTTTATGAGTTATGAACGTTAGAGTTCCTATCATTTTTTTTATCAGGTTACATGCAAATCAATACAACAGATCATGTTGGAATCAAAAGCTATCAGATCCTCGTTATATTCTGGTCTCTTGGTAATTTGTATTCATATGAAATTAGTTGAGGAAGCAACAGGTACCATTGTTACATGGATCATGATAGGGTGTTGGGACATGGGTTTGCCATGTTTTTTACAATTTTGTACATTAACTATTAGGATCTTGATGTCGTACCCGTATAGATAGTGAAGTGTCCAAGTAGTGTCCTACATTAGGCTAAAGTGAAAAGTTCATGTAACATAGACAAGCACTACTTAATGTATAGGGTGGTATGATATTGTTAGTAATAATTTCTGTGCAACTTGTGAGAAAGGAGGCAGCAGCAGCACCATGGGACAGCTGATAATGAAACAATTGGTGGTTCCAAAGCAAATTGCTTTTAGAAAAAGAAAAAAAATTGTGGTAAAAAGTCCCGATATAATCGGGTGGCCGGAGTTTCACATGGACTCCCGCAGATTTCGCTGTGAAGCCAACGGGCTTCTCATCCGGAAAGCAGATGAGTCGTTCAATTGTTCAACGCTCTATCTATCTAGTGGAGTCTGCTCTCCGCTGCGGTGTTTGGCGTTCTCATTTGCCTGGGACATTTTATGTTTCCCTGTGGTTGATGGGTCTCTCTTTGGCTTACTATGCATCACACGTGTCTGCATGATATCTCAGAACTGGGCTCCTTGTTTGGTGCCAGCTGCCCACTTCTTTGCCTCACCTTTTTCGTCCTGCTTTTGTGGGAGCTTCCTTTGTCTCTTCGGTCCTCTCATTGTTGAAGGCTTTGCCTTTTCTCCAATGTTCTGTCCATTCGCACGCTCATAACTTCGATGCCCTTTACAATCTTACTGGAAAAAGGAATTTTCTTTCCCCACCACCGGTGCCTTTGCCCACACCTCTTCCATGCTTCTAATTCATAACTACTATCAACAATTTGTTTCCTATTTATGAAATAAAAAACCTATCAATCAATACTGCCAAAGGGTGTTCAAGATGAATGTCATTCTTTCACGAGGTGAAAAGACTAATTATAATCTATAAAGATTTTCCAAGTTTTTATTTAAATTTTAAAAAAGATAAAATTAGGGGAATACATTATTTCAGTGCAATATTTTAGACAGTGTAGTCTTGTTTAATTACAATAGACGAATTTACAAAGAAGTCGCAACATAGAAATTGGGCACTGTAAAATTGGACTTTGTTCAATCAATTGTGTTTTGTCTCCCGCCTTAGATTTGTTGGGTGACCATATCAAGAACTAGGATAAGAGAATGAGCCATTATGGGATGATAAGCTGGTAAAGAGATTTGCTGGGCACTATATGTCACAATTAATAATAATTTTTTTTTAATTTTAATAAAATTTATAAATTATTCAGTTTTTCAAATTAAAATAAAATATATTATACATTTAAGATAAATAATTATAAATCATATATTTGATATAATTCTAACAATCTATAAATTTTAAATTCAAAATTTTTTTGATAAAAAAATAAATTTTAGTTATTTGAGTTAATTTTTTATTATTATAATTAATAATAATTAGTAATTGGGAAGCGTAGCTCTCGGTTGCTTAGTTAAAAGAAAAAAAAAAGGTTTTGTTCTCCTGCTAACTATGGTCCACTTCAAAGTGTTCAAATGGTTCATCTTGCTTTTAAATCTTTTGATAACTTGTCGTCCATATCTTTGGGAGAAGGGTGACAAGTTCTTCATTTAAGATTTGCTTTGAAATATGAACATGTCTAGGAGTTCTGTTGTTGTTGTTTCTGACGAAACTGGTTTTGAAAGTCTGCAAGTGGAATCTTTAGGCTCTTTATTTCTTTCTCTCGTTTAGTGAAAGCATAAGTGAATCCAGTGTTGGTTTCAGTCATATATATGAGTTCTTGATCAAGTGTTATTATCTTTGACTGAATTTCAAGAATAATATTTTGAAGATTGACAAGGCTGCTAGTTTAAAACTGCTTCAGCACGAGAAACATTTTTTTTGTTCCCATATTCATCTCTGTCAGTGAGAGTGGGAATTTTTGGAATGTGTTTGTACTGGTCTTTATGAAACTCTTAAAAAGGAGAAAAATCTTAGCTTTGGTAGGTTGGTTGCATCATTGAAATTTGTGGTAAAGGTTGGGTGGAATCTTGAGTGAAATCTGATTTTTGTGTGGGTTGATTTGAGTAGGTTTGAGAGAGTAATTTTTCTTTCTTAGGATAGATGACATAATAGTCAAACTTTCTTGAGGGTTCACTATATTGTTGTAGAATTCCCACTCCTAAAGCTCAAAACCCTTCTCCATCTTTTTCAGCAGTCAACCATTAACCCTACCAAACACTAGTTGGACCCTACTCAGTAACATCTCAAGTTTTTCTTCACCTGGTTCAGACCCATTCCCATTTGGATTCAATGGATTGAAACCTATGAGAGATATACAAAAGTTTTTGGGTAACACAATGGGGTTTGCTATGGTTTGGGCTGCACCAGTGTCAAAAAAAGCTATGACTGTTATAAGAGGGAAATGTTTATGAGGGAAGATCTGAACTGAAGCTAAGGGCAATTTTAAAGGTTGGAGAGTTTGGATTTTTTAGAGTTCTTGGACTGACATATACTCATAGCATTGATCATCTGTGAAGTCATCTGAGTATTCTGAGTAGTCTGAATCTGCAAACTCAGCATCATCAAACTACTTGATCATAAACAAGGATCTTTCATTCTGCTCATCATCAAGGGAGAAAATTGATTTAAGATCATCATTTGAGAGATTGATACCAGAGATATTAGCAATGTCTTGGATCATCTTGACTGATTTTTTGTCTGACTTGGTAATTCTAAAAAAAATATCCTGATTTTCCACAAAGAAAACATTTTGAACTTTTGATCTTTGGATCTTTCTTCTTTTTTGCAAATTAGAATCTTTGAAATCTTTTGGGCTTATCAGCATATTTGAAGAGCTTCTTATGTCTGGGTCTGGAGAAAATTGGAGGTCTGGAAGGTCTGAATATTCTGAAATGCTTTTTTTTCTTGTTGTTGCAAAAACATGTGGGATTTTTGGAAGAACATTTGATTTGAAGTCCTGAGGAGGAGTAAGAGCATGGCTTTTCTAACTTTTTAGAGTTGTGCACTAGGGTTTTGATGTATTTGTGTTCTTTGTAAATTTTATCAAGTGCTTTCAACATCATCTTGTAGATATCTCCAAGGGTCATAGATCTAACATCAAGAGATCTGAGGTTCAACTGGGTCCTTGTTTGGTGTGCAAGTTCTTCTGAAATAGAATTGAGGAAGGCTTGCTTTAAGTTGACATCATCGAATCCACCAAGTATGTAAAAATACTGGGAGAATTATTGATAGTGTTTGTCATGGTCTTTTGGATGGAGAGAACAACATTTTAGTTTGAAGAATTGTTCTCTGATCTTTTTCAATCTGTGAGTTTCTTGTCCATAAAAGATTGCTATAAATTAAGAGACAGCTTCTGTGATTGTTGGGCATTTAAAAAACTGGAGTTGTCTGTATTCACCATTGTTGTCCCAAAAGTTTTTCAGAGTACCAACTAGTTTGGAAACAAATCTGATCAATACTCTGTTCATCGTAACATTGGGATGAGAGTTTAATTCAACCAGTCTCCATGCTAAAAACTCTTGGAATCTTGAGAGTCATTTTGAAGGAGGAATATCATTAATGGTAAAAACTGAGAACTTTGATGTCGAAGGAGGAACATGTGATTGTTGTGGAGGAGGGTGTTGTTCAGCATCTATTGCATCAGGGTTGTAAACTTCTGGAATATCATCTGAAACTTCAACTGTTGATTCTATCATGCAGATCTGAGGGAATATTATTTCATCTGAGTCATCAGTATCATCTGCTTCAACTTCAGAGTGTGACTGACAATGGACGTAACCATACGCTATTCTATTTCTTTGCCCGGTTCGCCATGTCATTTCCTTTCGGTCACGATGTTGATAAAGTCTGAAAGTGTGCAGTGCTTGAGTCTCTAACTATTAATAGTCATTGGGGATGGCGGATTTGTTAAAGTCTATTGCTGCCCTATCTCGTCCTGCCTCTCTATAGTCTCTGTTGTCTTTGTAACGAGTACCAGGCTCTATAAAATCTATCCATAAAGCATAAGCTGCCTGCTATAGCTGCATGCTTAAACACCTCATCTGTATTCAACTGAAGCAGTACACTGCACACCCATTTGAATGTCATCTTCCAATGCAGTTGGCTATTTTTTGATAGCCAGTGAAGCTAAAATTTTGACTGTACCGTGGAACTTTTGCTTTCTCTAACCGCTGTTTTGTTTATTTTTGTTCCTTCCTCTTTTCATGTTTTTTTTTTTTTTTTTTTAATTTTGTTACCTTTTTAATTATTAATTATTTAAGTGATAAATAAATTTATATTGTTGATTTATATTTGTTAATGTATTTGTATTTTTTACTTAAATATTTTCAAATTATTTATTCTTGTTAATTCTTTTATTATTTATTATTTGACATAAAAATAATTTTATTTTTTAATTATTTATTAATTTTATAAATACTAAATAATTTAAAATTTTATTATATATAACATTTAATCGTATCTTTAATGATTATTTTATCATTTTATTATATTTTATCTTATTATTATCATTGCATTTATATCTAAACACATATATTATTATTGATTTTAATTTTATTATTATAATTTTTAATTTTACTATTATAATAATTAATTTTATATTCATTGCTATTTTTTTTTTTTCATCGGTGTTAATATCTTGTCATTCAAATGGACTCTTAGCATTCGTCAATTTGAACTAGATAAATTTGGAGTAGTTCAATCTTAAATCTATAGGTATACACAGATTATAAATATATGTAAAAGATGATGTTATAAATGAATTTTGTATTATGAAAAATAAAATAAAATTAAAGATTTATATTAACTTATTAATGAATTTGATTGGAAACCAAAAGATCATAAAGTAGTTTCCAATCCTTTTTTTTTGGTAATATGATTGTGCATGTGGAGCATTTTTCCTCAGGTTCATGGAATTCTTTTCCTTAAGATTATAATTAAATATTATATTTATAATTGTAATTATCCAACAAAATAAAATATGATTAGATAAATTAAACATAAAATTAAATTAAACAAACGCAATGAGATTTAAACTTAAAATTTGAGGATTTTACGATTTTTTTCACACTTTTTATTGGCTAAGGAATCCGATTCCCAGAAATGAAATTTTCTTTTAAGTTTGCGTAGTTGTGGAGTATTGGTGGGGATGCTAATCTTGTAACAATGCAATCTTTTACGCATATCTAGCTTGCCAATTGGCGTTGGATAGATAAATGATTTTCTTTGTTACTTAAAAATCAGCGTAAACTTTAATTATTTCATTTAAAGGATAATAAATGCACTTTAAATTAAAAATCTATGATTGAAATTTAATATAAAAATAATTAAGAAATAAAAATAATTTGAATAAATATTCACCCATTGGTTAAGATATATATATATATATATATGTATATATAAAGTAATTTTTCTAAAATATTGTTGCTGAAATTTGGGTAAGTCTGATTCTTTAAACAATGTATTATGTCGGATATTTCTTTACTTAATTACTTTTCAACTATTCCAGAATTTATTCCGAGATATCAGAATGATCAAACTTCTGGTTTTCCTGTGTTTTTCCCTGGCCAGACGAATGTGCTCTATCATCAGACGAAGATTTTAGTGGTGGGGAGGTAGATGCACACGAAGCACAGCCCAGAAATGAAGACAGAGGTCTCAAAGATAGGCTGTTTCGTAGATTTGGCAGTCACATTGGCACCTTGAAGCTGGAGTTTTCAAAGAAGAAGAAGAAGAAGAAAGTAAAACTACCAATAGAAGCAAGACAAACGTTGCTTGAGTGGTGGAATGTTCACCATAAATGGCCATATCCAACGGTAAATTCTTCCCATCCTGCCCGCTGTATTACATACAATATTTATGCATCCTTGTGGAATATTACTTGTCTTTGAACTATAGAGCTCTGAGAAATATTACCATTCCCAATTTTTGTTGGTCATAATTCAGGGAGCTGATAAGATAGCATTGGCTCAATCAACGGGACTAGACCAGAAACAAATCAACAACTGGTTTATAAATCAAAGAAAGCGGCACTGGAAACCATCTGAGAGCATGCAATTCGCGGTTACGGATAATCTGTCAGGAAAATTCTTTGCTGAGGACTGAAGGTCAAGTACATTCTCAAATGCATATCAAGATCATCAATTATATTCTAAATTATTTTGTTTTGCCTTACATTCCATGTATATTTTGAATGCAAAAATGTTTTGCGGCCTCTACTGAGATTGGAATATGCTTATTTCATGGGAAAGAAAATAATTGTAATTCATTCCATGTTTATTCTCCCATCGACCAGTAATTGCAACTAAAAACGTTGAAGATTTGGATGATTTCTTTCGCTTTTTTCCTTATAAAAATTTTAAAGTAGACATTATGGTAGGGTTTGGTATAATTTTGAAGATCATCATGATAACATAATCATGAAAGTGATCTTCTTATCAAGTAATTTTATTACTTGTGTTTTGAAATCATTTTATTTGATTAATAATTATTAATTCATGTGAATTAAAAATTATTATATTTGGTATGATTAAAAATTAAAAATTATTTTGTTTAAAAATACGAAATTAATCATGCATATTATAATAATTATATAAGTTAATGATTTTAATATTATTTAAAGATAATCATTTGTAAAATATAGTAATACTTTATTTATTTTATAATAAGTTATAACAAATTATTAAATTGATAAATATAGTTATTAGATAAATTAATTTTTATAATATAAACTATGTAAAAAATATTTGAATCAGAAAATATAACTAATCTATTAAAATCATAATAAAAAATTATATTATATATAAAATATAAAATATATAAAAAATACACAAATTATTTTTTAACTTGATACAATATATAACAAGTACAGTAAATATTATAAAAAATAATTACAATTTTAAGTGAAAGCAAATTTGTAGTTCATATATTCAATAAGCAATATTGACTATATTAATTTTATACATCACTTCATTTCAATAATAAAAATTTTTAAACTTTTAAAATAAAAATTAAATCACTCTCCAAAGTAATAATTTTGGACTATTGAAAGTGATCAAATCACTATATTTTTTGAGAGATCACCCAATATCAAACATTGTCAATATATATAAGGATTACTTGTTAATGTCCCATGTGGCTTTATAATATTAAAAAATATCTAACGAGATAACTGTGTCAAAAAAATTTTAATCATATATATATATATATTAATCTGATTATCAAATAATTTCAACTAAATAATATTCGATTAAATGGATAAAGTTTTAATAATGGGTAAGAATTCAAATCTTGTTATTTACCAAAAATTTTAAATATAAAAAGTCAATTTTAATTTTGAAACCAGTTTAACTCTCTTAGAAAACCTAATCCAATGGATTTAATTGATTCTTCGTCCATTCAATATCCCTTTGATTTCAGGTCCACATTTTTTATATATTAATGAATTTTTAGATTTTAAGAAAGAAAATAATTTAAAAAAAGTGATATGAAGAGGAATATGTAATTTATGAAGTTTGTAGACTTTAAAAAATATAATATTTTTGTGTTTGATTAGAGGAATATAAATTTATTTAATAAAATTATTTATTATATTATCTATAATAACATATAAATAATACTTGACAAATATGAAAATATAAAAATAATTTATTTATTTAATATTTTATAAATTTATAAATATAAATTATTTATATATTTAATTAAATATTTTAATATTAAAAAATTTTTATGCATTCATGAATGGATTTCGAAACATTTTTACCTTATATAAATTTCGTGTACTATAGGAATGAACTTACCTTGTATGCTAATCTGCCTATTCATATTGTCTTAAAAACATTTTACCTATGATTTTATACAAAAGAAAAGGATTAGGTCCCACCTTTCCAATTTATCCTCCCTTAGTCTCACCCTTCCTAGTTTCAACAAAAGTTGTTAATATCGTATCAGATAATATATTTTTTTTAAATATGTTATATACTGATATCAATTGTTTTGGTATATTATTTCAAAATTTTTTATTTAATTCAAATATATTTATAAACATGCATAAACTCATATATTATAATACTATTAATAATTTACAAAATAAATATGCAATATCTTCAAAAATCAAATAGATAAATTTAAAAGTATAAAAAATAATATCATAAATTTTTTATGATATTTTTAAATACTTAATCTAATCATATGAAATTTAAATAAGTATTTTTCATGTAATATTAAGATAAAAACAAAAAGATGAAAAAATTAACGAAAGCTTTATGATTGTTAAACTTTATAAAGGGAACATAATTACTTTTATTAAAAGAGATTGAAATACTTATAAACTTTGGTTTGAAAAAAATAAAGTATAAAATTTTAAACTTTTGTTTTAAAAAATAAAGTACAAAAGAAAATAAGTTACAATAAAAAAAAGAATTCAACTTTCAAGGGTTATTTTATCAATAATTTTATTTTTATTAGGTTAAAAATAATTAAACAACAAAAAATAATTTAAAAATTATAAAATATATTTTACATTCATGTACCGATCAAAATATGTTAATTTATGAAAATTTATCAAAATCAATCGAAACAAACAAAAACAACTGGTATTATCTGATGTCAAATCTAATATAAAAAAATCATTTTTAAGTATACCATATTTTAATATAACTGAAGTATATCGATTGATATAATCAATTTCAAAACGAAATTAATAAGTATTGTTCCAACCTTCTTTTATCTCTAGCGCCCCCCCCCCCCCCTCTCCATCTTTTTTTTTTAATCTTTGTGCTTTTTACCACATGTGGATGCTTTGAATCTCATGTTTCCACCGCCTATAGTCACTAATCTAGGTGATATTTTGTTGTAAGAAATGTAATTAATATTAAAAAAAGATTTTTTTAATAAAATTTATTTTTTTAAAAAATTATTATAACACATTTGGATAATATTTGATGCATAACAATATTGATAAGATATGGTATAATTATTTTATATTATATTTTATTTATATCTAAGAAGAATAATAAAAATTGTAAGAAGAATCAATATCCTCTTAGTATATGATTATTCAATCATCTTCAAGTGAAAATGATTATTTTTAATCTATATAATTAAACTTATATATCCAATTATACTAAAAAAATTATATCAATAATTTAAATTACATAAATTTTGAAGTAAAATAATTTTGATAAATAAATAAATTATTTTATCTTAATTATTACATATATCAAATATAAAATAAAATGATATTATTTAATCTAATCATATTTATAATATTATTTTATCTTATCCTATTATAATCTTATATATCAAATATAAATGTTATTAGCGAAAGGTTTAGTACATTCACAAGACGATTAGGGTCTCTAAGACAACATGGTTTATATACAAAAGTAGATTTTATTGAACCTTTTTAAAATATAAAAATTTTCAATTTATTCTTTTAATAATGATGATGTTTTTAATTTTAAAAACATTGTCTTTGTTTTTGTTGAATAAAGACAATATTTTAAAAATAAAAAATATGATCTTTATTGAAATTATTAAATTTTAAAATTAAATTTTTTTATAATATGTTTTCAACAAAAATTAAAATTTTAATCTTAAAATGTTGTTTTTGTTGAAATTATAAAATTCTAAAACATAAATTTTTTATAATATATCTATTTAACATTTCAAAATAGCTTTCCTTTATCGTATTTCAGTATTGTTTTAATTTGTGAAATAAAATAAATGTAATTTTTATCATTTATTTTATTATTTTAGAAGATTACAAAGGATAATATAATCTGAAAATATAATTAAATGAGAGCAAATATGTAAAATTTTTATTTTTCTTCTAAAATCTACAAAAACTTGAAAAAAGAGAGTTTTTTTTTTATTTCTCTTACTTTTTTTTATTTTTTATAAAAATATTAAAAAATTTACGAAATCACATTCCGTAAATTAAATTAAAAAAATCAAGTTACAAAAAAAAAAAATTCTGACAAGAAATTTGAATCATACTTTTTGAGTAAAAAATTATATTTCAACCAATGAAGTCAAATGAAAGAGTGCACAATCGGTTCTTGATCCATTCCATTTTCAGTCCCATTTTTTAATACATTAAGAAGAACTTGAATCCTACTCATTGGATAAAAAATCCTACATTAAGTAATTAAACCAAATGTTGGGGTGCACAATGTCTCCACTTTTAAGTTTAGAAGATATAATTAATCTAGAAATGGTTTTCCAATAGAGATGAATTTTATTATTATAGTATCGATCAATATTAAATATTTTATTATATTTTAATTTTTACACTTTTAATTTTATTGATTATTATCATTATATTTGTAATTTTGTTTGATTATTTGATAAAAAAATAATTGGAAAATTTGTCAGAATATTTTGATAATGAAAATGGTAGATTTTTCATTATACTTCCAATTTTGTCAATTTTTGAATTAAAATAATGAAATTTATATCACAAAATATTTTATTAACAAAAATGAAAATATTAGTAAATTATATAATAACATTTTATAAAAAAATTAATTTTAAAATTTTAAAAGTAAATTTACTTAATTTTAAAAATATATTTAAAATTATTTTTATAAAATATTACTATATGATTTACTCACGTACATAACATTTATGATAATTTAAGGATGAAAACTTAAAAATCAGTAATTACAAGACAAAACGCGACAAGAACATGGAAGAGTCGATTTATTTATAATTTTGTATCATCACATCATAAGTCCTACTAGTAGAAACATTGGTGTTTTAAGAAATTAGCAGCTCGGAAAAAACCAAGTATCCGAGAAGATAACGGGCTTGGTTTCAGCTTTTGCAGAAAATATTAATGGGCTGGGTTTGTTATTTCGGCTGTATATTAATAAGAATTTACAAGCAAAGGATAGACATATGACATGTCACATCAGAATTCAGGAACTTAAACAAATAAAAAATGGCTCCTCTTCGACTCTCAGTTCCACACCTAGCTGCTTCCCGGTTCGCTGCGCTAGTGAGCGGCAGGAGCATTTTAACCGTATTGCCTCTCTTTACGATGATGTGAGTGAACTCTCCCTCTCTATTCCTTTATTTAACAAATCAAAATACAATTACAGTTTATGTAGTAATGAAACAGAGCAAAAAGGGAAGATTCTGTGTTGGATTTGTGCTGTGGAAGCGGGTATCTAACGTTCCTCATGTCCGAGAAAGTTGGTTCCTACGGCAAAGTGTGTTTTGTTTTATGTGTTTATCACCATTGTTAGTTGTTACAATTTGTTGGCATTTTGGATTTTATGTAGCAGGAGAAATAAAATCTGGGTTGGTAAATTTGTAGATAACCGGCCTTGATTTCTCGAAGGAGCAACTATCAATTGCTTCATCACGGCAATACTTGCTTTCAAAGGCTTGCTACAATAACATTGAGTGAGCACTGGTAAATCTTGTCGTTAACTAACTAGTAATTTTATCTAAAAATCCATGTTTAAGAAAATGAAAATGCTCTCCCCATAATACAGAGACCGTAGGTGAATCATTGCAAAGTATTATAATTGCCTATATAATCATTATAATTTTTATAATTGTTACATCACGAGGCAATTTGTGTTTGGAATTGAATCCAGATGGGTTGAAGGTGATGCACTTGATACCATTTTCTAATGGTTACTTTGATGCTATTACTATGGGTTATGGGCTACGTTATGTGGTTGATAAACGTCGAGCGATGCAGGAGATGTTTCGAGTTTTGAAGCCAGGTCTATAGACTAGTCAATCTTCCCTTTCTCTTGTTTGTTAATGAGGGGTTTTTTAATTAAATTGTGGCCTTAACTTGAATGGTAATGTTCTAAATTATCTTGGTTTTTCAGGCTTAAGGGTGTCAATCCTTGTCCTTGAGTTTAATAAAAGCACACATCCATTTACTGCCTTGTTTCAGGTAGCCGCAACTATTTTGCTCTTATTTTTGTTTCTATACCACTGCCTTGACTTGATATAAACCTTTATAAGTTTTTTTTTTTTTTTTTTTGGAATGTTGTAAAGAGTCATGAATTAGTGATGAATGTCGTTCTGGGTCGGATAACCTTGCATGCATCATACATCTAGTTCAATACTGAAATATGCTGGTGACAACATAAACTAAATTTATCTTAATTTTTGCTTTTGGAAAGGAATGGATGATTGATACTGTAGTAGTTCCAACAGCAACAGTTTATGGCCTTGCCAAGGAGAACAAGTACTTGAAAACTTCAATCAATGAATTTTTAACAGGTTCGTTGTCCTTCAATAGCCTATAGAACTATTCATGCTGAACTATACTTTTCAGCAATGATTCATTTTCTACATGCAAAAAATTCAGTCTTGGAAATCTAATTTTGTTTAATCTTGTTTATGAGTAGATATTTATAACTTATAGATTCTTGTAACTGAGGTGCCTATGAGATCTATTTCACTTTAACTTCCATTTTAGGTCTTCCTAGTCCGATATTCTTTGTAGACCTGACGTTTTTCTTTGCAAATGAAACTATTGTATATGCACCCCAATCTATGCAATAATGCTTTGGTCCAAATTAGTTTTATCTGTTTGCATTGCTTCTCAGAATGTTGAAACAATTGAGATTTTGATTTGTTGCAAACTGTAATTGGGCCTTAAAATGCATAACCAGAAATAATCTGAAGTCTAGGGACGATGTAGTACCGCCATAGCTTTTGTCTAAATGCTCTGTCCTCTGTTGTAGGGAAGGAATTGGAGAAACTCGCTTTAGATGCAGGGTTTTCTTTTGCCAGACATTATGAGATTGGTGGAGGCCTCATAGGGAATTTGGTAGCCACACGTTAAATGAAATTCATGCTTTGTCTTTTCTTGCAATGTTCAATTTTGTTGTTGATGAAGAAGCATCCTGTTGTTTATGAATTTCCAAACATTTTCTAAATGCAGACCTTATGCTTCAGGAATATAGTATGGTTTTTCCATGTAGGTTGTTAAACTGAATCCTTAGTGTTATCTGTCTGTATGATTAAAAGATCAATAATAAATAACAATGCTTTAGTTTTGCATCAAAGTTTCCAGGTCTTACTTTTTATGTTCTTAGCTTACGTGTGGATCACTTCATCTATTTTAGAGGCTGGGTACTTCGAAGCCTGAGAGATTCACATAAAAAAGTTCATAGTAAGTTAATAATTTTGCAAATCGCACAATGTTATGTCACTTAGCTATTTTATTCTGATGTGGAAGAGCTGACTTAGGTATTCCAATATCATTCCGCATTCTGAAGATAACTATTCATTCTGCTCGTGATCATTTGCTCACAAAGTGCATGTTTAAATCTGGAATTGTTTTTGAAGCTTTTTCCCTTGTCAAAGTGCGAGTGCAATCAGATATCAGATATACTCTTTTCATCCCCACCTTACTCTAAAGATCATCTTGGGTAAAAGGAGCTGTGGGTGACAGTGGCAATTGAATCAGTATTAGCTGGATTGAAGGGGTAGAATTTGTTCCCACCTGTGTCTTTGAATTCCATGGTCTTTTGGTCAACAAAAGGAGGATTAGTTGGTGCAGGAAGGTCTTCATCTTTCTTTGTTAGCATCTGTAGTACCTTCGACATTGATGGTCTTAGTGATGGAATTTCTTGGGTGCAAAGGAGTCCAATATGCACTACTCTGAAAACCTCATTCTTAACGTTGCTGCCATGGTTGTTATCATGTAAGGTTAGATTTGGGTCATAAATCGCCTCCACCGTTCCTAATTGAAAGTGTTTCCACGTCTGCTCCACCCAGGAAAACACACAATAAAAAAAAAAAAAATCTATAAGAAACCCTTTTTCTCACGGAAGTCAGCTTTAGTTAAGTGGTCCTTCAAGTAGGAAAAAAGGGCAGATGTAGAAAGAGGGACTGTCTGAAGCTTACAACTGTAACTAGGCTGTCGGAGTATTCTGTGGCTTTGCTCCTGTTGTTTTGCTTCCCTGTAACTATCTCCAGTAAAAGCACTCCAAAACTATAGACATCCACCTTCTCTGTTAACCGGCCATGGGCCTGGTACTCCGGAGCCATATATCCTCTATGAATTTTGCAAAATAGAAATTATTATTTGTTCAAACATATTTCAAAAACAAATTTTACTATTTTTAAGGTCATGCTCTTGAATTGGAATTTCGTGTGAGCCAACCTGTGAAGCTTTTGAATGCTAAACAATGAACCATGCCTGGAATAGATAGAAAGAATGTGATGCTTACAGTGTTCCGGCAATGGCAGTGATGATGTGACTCTGATCTTCCCGGAAAGACCTTGCCAACCCAAAGTCGGCAATTTTGGCACGAAGCTTTGAATCCAACAAGATATTGCTAGCTTTTATATCTCTGTGAATGATTTTGGTGTTGGAGTTCTCGTGAAGATAGACTAAACCTTCTACGGTCCCAATAATTACTTCATATCGGTTTTCCCAATTGAGTACTTTACCTCTGCTGGGATCTGTTGTGTTTTCCAAAGGGAGAAAATTCTGTTACTGAACATATCAGCTTCAATTAGATGAGGCTTTCTTTTTTTTTTTTTTTTTTGAGTAAATGTTCTGACTACTTTTCAGTATCAATTTAAGCTTAGCATCCATATTGGTATTACCAAAGATGAAACGATCCAGGCTCTTGTTTGGGAGGAACTCAGACGAGAAGACTTTCAGGTCCAGAACAACTGCATCCCAACAACCTGACCAGGTTTTTATGCTCCACGCTGCTTATAATGTTGACTTCATTGTAGAAATCTGCTGCTCTGTGTCGATTGTTAAAGAATAGCCTCTTGACAGCGATCTCTCTTCCATCAGGTAGAACTCCCTACAGACGACAAACGACACCTATGAACATAGCATACTGGTTAAATGCCAAAGAAGTGCACTGGACCTCAGAGGAAAAACTACCTTATAAACTGTACCAAATCCTCCTTGCCCAAGCTTGTTCACATCGTTGAAAGACCCTGTAGCCCTCTCAAGTGTAGAGTACTTGAAATTTAAGTTACTATCATGAAGGAGTTTAACCAGCTTTTCTGCATCATTTGAACCTGGAATGCGGTGAAACACATTTTAGCAAAAAGGAAGACTAGAAAATCTTGGTAATAAATTTGGAAATAGTACCATGTTATTAAGCCAAAACTTGCCTAACCACAATTCCATGTAATTGAATAATTCAGATAACTAACATTCGCTGACAACTACAACATTTTCATTTCTTAATCCTCAGCTGTTTTGTTCTTTCTGGACAAGGAAATTTACCTCGTCTTTTCTTTTGTATGTATCTGTGCTTCTGGATATAGACTCCAATAGGAACTCCAACCGCTAAAATAACCAGGGAACTGACAATAAAAACTACTATGATTATACTGGTTCCTGTAAATTCATGAATGCAAGTTCACAATCAGTTTAAAACTATTGAGGTAGAAACTTTTTTCCCTGTCACATTACGAGCGCAGGGAAATATATAAAGAAATAAAAAAAATGCATCAACTGACACTTTAAAGTGTGGCAGGTGATAATTACCTCTTGAAATTCCATTTCTTGGTTCTTTATTGAGGAAATCCGTGTCGGAGTTCCTCATGAAGCAGCCAGTGCTGAGTGCCCGTCCCTCTGACCAAGGCAAGCACCCTAGTATTGATGCAGATGCATTCTCTAAACAAGCTTTACAACAACTATCCTTCAATGTCCTCCAGCAATTAGCCAAAACATGAGCCGACTCATTTGTTCCTGAAACTGCCACCTGAGCCTTCCCATAGCCTTCATTTTTCAGTGCAGCAGCAACTGCATGTTTCACTGCCTGTCTTGCAGATTCTTGAAATTGGACCCCTTCCGGCGTGTATTCCCACACACTGCCCTGTCATCCGGTCCTGTGTACTCCTCAAAGAAGCTATAATTCTCAGACCTCATGAAGCAGCCGTCAGGGAAAATACGGCCCCCGTTGTGCGGATAGCATTGAGGAAGAACCGTACGTGCCTCGGCATAGCACAATACACAGTCAATCAAAGATAGATCCCCATAACACCGAGCAAGACCATAGTTAGTATCAAGCCCTGAACCTGTAACTGCTTTTCCAAAACCTGAATAACGCATCTGTTCACTGATTTTTTCCATTGTAGCCACAAAATTTGGAACAAAGATCGTTGCGTTGTGCTCCAGTTGGCTGCCACATGTAATATTCACTGTTTGGGCTCTTGGATCTGCCCCTACTCCTTGAAGTAATGCTAGAAATCCGATAAGAACCAACAAAATATGATGAGAACCGACAAGTTGAACAGTTTTATCCATTTTCTTTAAGGTTATTTTGGATTTTGGAGTGGCCCATTACAAGGCTCAAGAAATGAAAAAAAAAAAAAAGATAATACAAATACAGTATAGTAAAATCAACTTGTTCTAAGAATTGCAGTTAGTGCTATGCAACAAAAATAAGTGAACAGCTAGAGAAAATATCATACTTTTAACAGAAACTACCAACAGGATGGAAACTGGATACCAAAGCGATTGGCGTTGAAATTTTTGGCACCGTCTTTAAATGCTCTGCACATTTCGACATCTCCCAAGTCAAAAAAGCTCAAGTCCTGAAATGCCACTAAAACCTTCGCCAATTGCTAGTAGTTGCTTCAAACCGGAGTTTTCATGGTTTCACAATTTAACAAGTGTTGAAAATGATTAAAGAGAATTGGAAGAGGACAATGACATCCTTATCCATGGTTGTGACATCATTGTACCTGATTTTGCTGCTACGATGAAGTCTCCACGTACCTGCATATACATTTGGTATCCAATACTTTACATTACAACCATCATCACCTACACGTTTATGACAGCAAAATTTTGGATAATTGCTGTAATTGTCCCTAGCATTTTTGTCAAAGAAATCGACCATGAAGGCCCAAGAACAAGACTGCGACAATGACCCGTCTGCAAAATTTGATTAAAGAAATATAGCTAGGGTTAAAAATGAATCATCACAGTTATAATCACCCATCATAATGAATGTTAAATCATCTATAATATCTAGATTCTAGCAACTTAATAAGGGTTTTAGTTCAACAGTATTTTTTAAAAAACATATTTTCTATGTTTGCAAAGGCGCGTTTGTACATTGTAGAAGTAATAATGTCAGTATCAGATTAATGAATGCAACATTGAAACAAACCAACCAACGTTAATAATCGAAGGAGAATGCAGGACCCACTGTACAGCCCAATGGCCCACCCACGCTTACCGGAAGACACGTTGCAGTAGATTGTAGGAGCAGTATCCTTCCACTCACTCCACGCGTAATTTTTTAAAAATGATTGATCGATAAATAATTTTTTAAATATTATATTAATTAATAAATTTATAATTTTAAAATTTTAAAATTATATTAAATAATTTATTATAAAAATTCATATAATATTTTTAAAATAATAAATATTAATAAATAATACTATTATGGAACCACAAAATTATAATTAATTAAAATTAAATTAAACATTTAAAATGATATTTTTTTATTTTAATATTTAAAAAACATTTATGCCAAGCTCTTACAATATATTTTATGCCAACAAAAGGCGCATGGAGTCACTTAACAGCCTGCTTATATATTGCCATCTCTCAGGCTGGCCATAATATTGCGAGATTTATTTATTTTATTTTATCATTATTACTTTTCCTCGTGGAATTCAAAATCATCCTGTCAGTAATGAGTATTAAATGAGTAGGTGTTAACCGGGGGTTTTATGCCAACAAAATATTCAGATTGGGAATATTCGATGTTGACTTTTCAAATATAAAATGTTGGGACTTAAGTAATCTTTGCATAATTGCATCACAGTATGAATAAAATCTGTAAAGTTGTTATCCGCTGCAGCAATGAATCTTCTACAGCTGTCTGTCAGAGATTCTTGGTTAACATCTGGACAAATTAATACAGGGTCTAAACATGGTGCAGGGTTTCGCTGGTGTGCTCAGCGCGTTTTTGTTGACAGTAGTAGAACTCTTCGAATTGCTCTAATTCAGATTTGTTAAATTGTAACTTAATAATGGATGTTTTTAATTCCATGGAGGAAAGTGCAATGAAAGCACTTACTCTCCTGAGGCGTCTATGATTTGCCACAAGCGCTGTATGGCTTCCATGAACGTTCCTTTTTTTGTAGGAAAGTTGTCAATGGCATTGCTCCTTCAAAAATTAAACTTTGAATTGTTCTGGCTACAACATTCTGGCTTGTAATTCTTCCTAGGTGACCGGAAAGGATATTCACCAAGGCCATTGAAGAACTTTCAAGCCTTTATCTTGTCAATGATAAAGCTTTTTGTCATTTATTTCGACTTAATATGTCAGATCGGTTTGAAATATTCAATATCACGTCAACTTAGCATTATTCTTATTGTTCCTTGATAGTCCCTTATTACTACTCACTTATAGATATGAAAGTCCAAGCATCACTAAAGTAAGTTGATGCTAAACCCATTTTCTTCTTCCTATTTTCTTTCTGACCTCTTTCTATTTGACTTGTGTGTCGGAGTGCAAGTGCAAGGAACACACTATGTCTTTGTCTCTTATCACTTTTCTCTTTTATTTTTTTAAGAACACTCTGAGGTCGGAGCTCAACACAAACATTTGGAGCACTAGATAAGGGTCATTTTTCACTCATTAGCCGAGCATAAAGCAATGCTGCCAAGGAAGAGAACCTTAGAAAAAAGAGAGATAGTCGTCCTGGTTGGAATAGAAATCCATCATAGCTAATATCCCGTCCGACCTGCCCAACCATGTTAGGACCAACCATGAAACCATTTCAAGTCTTGACTGAACAAATACAAGCTCTTAAGTAGATGTTACAAATCATAACCCTACTGCAAGTTTTAAAAGTATTTGACCTAATTATCCCTGGTTGAGAAGCTTCTTTCAAACAACTGAGCTATGAAAAAGTGGAAGCCTCCTTGACCTTCAGAAAAGAGGAGCACACCACCTTAATCCACCAATACCCCAACCACAACTCAATATATGCTATGACCCAAAAATTCAAACAAATAAGCCTCAAACCCTAACCGAATAGAGATTTAGAAGCTCGAATGTAGGCTATGGAAAATGAGCTAAAAACGAAAGAAGTAGCTTTTGAGGATAAGCTTAAGTTCTTAGAGACTTCACCTTTTATTGAAGAAATTGATAGAGCCATACCTTCCAAAAGATTTAAAATGTCGAACTTGGAAACATATGACAGTATTTTTGACCTTTTTAATCATTTAAAACTTTATAGGACTAACATGATGATGCAAGGCACAGATGAAGCTCTAATATGCAAAGGCCTGACTACCGCATTGAAAGACGTAGCTTAATCCTGGTACAGTAGCCTAGAACCAAAGTCAATCACCATGTTTAAAGAGCTCAGTTACTATTTTCTATCTCGATTTGTCAACAGTCGAAGAGTGAAGAAGATAACTTTGAGCTTGATATCAATCTACCAAGGTCAGAATAAATATTTGAAGAGTTATGTTATGCATTTTAACGTGGAAGCTTTGCATGTTAAAGACCTGGTGCAAATAGTTGCTGTGGCTACCTTGACAAATGGACTTAATGATAAAGAATACCACATAAAGTTAACTTTGTCACTAAAACCACCTAGAACTCTGGTCAACATTCTATTGATAGCTGAGAAGTACATAAATGCTAAAGCTACAATGAAAACTAATAGAGATGAGAAAGGCTCATCCCCTCTTCTTGATGGTCGAGGTGAGAGAGGCCTATCTTCCATTCTCAATCGTAAAACCTAAGAGGGAGACAACAAAAGACTAAAAACCCCAGTGAATAAAGAAGCTACACTGCACTGAATACCTCTCGAGAGAAGATTCTAATGCAAAATAAAAGAAATCTTGACCTTAAATGGTTAAAGCCATTAAGACAGAAAACAAGAAAAGATTCGACTAAAATATGTACCTTTCACAGGAACATAGGCCATAACATTGAAGATTGTATCGACCTAAAAAATGAGATTGAAACCTTAATAAGGAATGATAAGCTAAAAAGGTTTATGAAACAACGAAGACAATGCCAACTTAGAACAGATTATAGATAATACTGAAAAAATCTTATTTGGGGTAAAGAAAATAAGCCAGAAAAGGAAAAAAATGAAGATTAAAAAGACGAGGTGAGGCAAAAAGAAGGTCAAATTGATAATAACAAATTGATCATTACAGTGATTAATGTGATCACTAGAGGTTAGAATAGATTATAGATAATACTGAAAAAAGCCATTTTGGGGTAAAGAAAATAAGCCAAAAAAGGAAAAAAAAATGAAGATTAAGAAGACGGGGTGAGGCAAAAAAAAAAGGTCAAATTAATAATAATAAATTGATCGTTACAGTGATTAATGTGATCCTTAGAGGCAGCTCTACCTCGAATAAAAAGAAATCCAACCTTGGCATGATCATGACAGTAGGTACCATGACAACATAAGAAAAAGATTAAAGAGATGAGCTGATCTCATTTAGCTTCAAAAACCTTAAATGAATCTAGCACCCCTATGACGATGCTATAGTGATCACGATTGTGGTGTACAACTATGTAGTTAAAAGAATCTTGTTTAACAATGGGAGCTTGACCTACGTTATGTATTACGGTACCATGAAAAATATGAAAATTGGTGAAGATCGATTGTAGTCGATCACTATAACATTAGTGAGATTCGAGAATGAACAAGTACCCGTGAAAAGAGCAATCAAACTACAGATCTCCTTAGGGATAAAACCTAGAATAATCACCTTAGTCATAGAATTTATGGTGGATGGACGTCCTATCAGCCTACAAATGATATTAGATTGACCTAGCCAATCTGTTATGTAATTTTTAGGCCCAACTCCCCATCTAAAAGTAAAATTCTCAACACTTAATGGGATTGGATAAGTTAGAGAAAACTAATCCATGGCACATTAGTGTTATGTCACAATAATGAAATGGAAGACTGAAAAGCAAACTAGTAGTTAGATTGAGAATGAAAGTACTGAAGAGGCGAAAACAAGAAAGTCAACAAGCAAGAACACAGAATGTAAGATCGACCTGACTAAGGCACGTTCTTAAACTACTTCGAACCCTTAAGCTCTAAAAAAATTTTTTTATTCTATTTTTTGAATTTTTTGAGGTAACTCCAAAAGCGATCGAGTTTTTAAGCCGATGTGAATAACTGCATGTCATTTGGATCGAGCTAATATGCCAATCAAAATACAGTATGAAATAAAAAATACATACCAATTTCATTACATACATATTCAACAAGTTATCCATAATTTACTAATCATCACGTCAGGATCTATTTTTATAGGAAATGATCTCAACCTAATTAAATAAAAAAGATAATTGATCAAAAGTTGGACTTGAATGAAAATTGACATGAACCAATTGAGGATCTTATAACAATTTTATTCTAAGATGGCATCCCCGAAAAACATATGCAAATTAAAACTAAACTTTAATATAGAGATCAGTTAATTCAACTCATGAGAGATAATACCGACCTATTTACCTAGACACCATCTGCTATTCTCAAGATTGATATCGAAGTGATCGTTTATATGTTGTACACTAATCCCAAGGTAAAACCAGTTTGATAAAAAAAATCTTTGCTCTAGAAAGATAACAGGTTATCGAGAAGGAGGTCAACAAATTATTACGAGTAGGCTTTATTAGGGAGGTCTATTACCCTGAATGGATAACCAATATGATCATGTCAAAAAGCACAATAAAAGAAAAAAGATGTGCAT